TGTCTCTGACGAGCTCTTTTCGTCAATGCCGGCGGGCTTTGATTTAATGACTCCTTAATTGGAGAAGAGCCATTATGAGCAGAGAGGTTACGAGTAGAATCCTCAACAACAATCAAGCGAGAGTCTTCATTCTGTGCCTTCTTTGGCATGTAAGTCTTCTTCAATGGTGAGATCCTCTTGTACTTGCGAGACAATGAAGATCTTGAAGAGGACGATGAGAGATATTCCTCAAACTTGGTTTGGTCGAATTCGTATTCGACCGTTGATTCAACCGGGATCTTGATGGTTGGCTGCGACACGACGGTCTCGACAGCGAGACCGTTGGCTCCCACTGTGGTCGCCAGCTTGTTTGCGTCAAAAGTTGATTTTGTCATGGAATTTATTATATCTTCGGTCGATTACAACAAATTCAAAAAAGAAATAGCCTTTTTATAAGACTTCTTTTACACAACAAAATAAAAAATTATAACTCTTGAGAAACAAACGCAGGATCGTTGTTTGGATCGCTGCTTGCGTGGGATCTTTGCCTGTGCCGGGAGCGCTTTGACTCGTGGACCACCAAATCACAGATTCTGATTGAATCATGAGGGGTTTAATGATTCTTCCTTCGTTTATCGAAGTGAGAATTTGAAACGATATCTTATCAAAGTAAGATAGTCGTTCTTCTTAAAATCAAGTCAAAGCTCGAATCTCAAGGGATTGCTGGAAGCTCAAGAACTCTGCTCTGTCTGCTCTGCGAAGTGCTCAAAATGATCAGCCCTGATGTTTTCTGCTCTCCCCTTAAAAAATTCGATATCGGGGAGTATTTATAACCCCTGGGAGAAAATCAGTTTCCGAGACAGTGTTTGCTGTCTCGGCGGCCGAGACAGCAAAGACTGTCTCGGGGGGCGAGACAGTGTTTGCTGTCTCGGCCCGCGAGACAGTTAACACTGTCTCGGAAAAGGAATATTCCTGGCAGTTTTCACTATAACTGCCTTCTCATGTTTCAAACTCTGTTATTTTGGCAGTTATCAACGTGATTCTCGCCCACGACATTTCCCACGCTCTTGAACAGTTAGTGGCCACGTGTTGGCGGTTATGCAAAGTAGTTTTGACCCTCTGAGAACTGTCTCACGTGCGAGATAGTAAATTCTGTCTCGCACGGCGAGACAGTAAAGACTGTCTCGCACGGCGAGACAGTAAAGACTGTCTCCCCC